CAAGTCTTGGACCACAACCCATCATCAGTTTAGGAAGTAATAGTTCCCATTAGAGTTAAATAGAAGAAAGCCAGGTATGTTTCACCATGTGACTAACAGATAGGCTGTGACTCTTAATGCAGCCAGATCTTCTTCTACCTTCCCTGTGTGCTCATGCAACTTGTAAAACAGAGTTTAGTTTGAAAGAAATGATTAATAAAGATGGACAAAATAAAAGGAAAAAAGTGGAACGGAAAAGCTGTGAGTGTGAAATATAAATAATCTAGAAACAGATGCAGCAAAAAAAAAAATCAACTGATGTTAGCTGTCTGGGTTGCTACAGGAGACAATATTGCCAACAAGTAGTTACAAGTCGATGCTCTCACTAGCACCAGCCGTGGCGAAGGGCATAATTAGGGACAGCAGTACCAAAAACAGAGTGAAGAACAGACGGAAGAAGATGTAATTGATGTGGTAAGAAAATAGATGGAGGGACGGAATTAGCAAGAGAAAGATCCAGTGATTGAAGTACAATGATTGGCTGCTTTGACCTGTTCATCCTTTCCCCCTTTTTGTTGTATGTACTACTCATTACTCTGAGGAACTGCACAAATATGTGCACGTATTTAACTGGACCATCTGCACTGTTCTCACAGAACATGGCGGGCAAAAAAATCCCTGGGCTGATTTTTGCGTATTGATCCGGTTACATCCATCTTTTATATCCAGTCAAAGGCAGTTATTTAATAGGTAGGAGCTGCTTTAACAGAATCAGTTATTGCAATCAAAATTGATTCCTTATTCTTATTCTTTTTTTCAGCTACTCCGTTTAGGGGTCCATCTTCCTCAATCCGTGGAATTATTCTGATTTGATTTGGCAAAGACTTTATGTCAGATGTTCCTACTGATGCCACCCTTCCCCGGGGCCTTCTTACTTGCTATCTTTTTTCAGCTTTTTGTGGAAAATTCACACGATGTTAACTGCAGACCTTTCGTGTTGTAGGCTGACATGTATGATATAAAATCCAGTAACTTTTAAGAGGTGATGGAATAAGCTATCTTAAGCTCCTGTTTCCAATGATCCAAGATAATAAAGAGGCTGTGTCTTCATTACTAATCGAGCATTGTTACTTAAAAGTCACATGCACCTTTCTGCAACTGCACGTGTTACCTTGACAACAATACTTGATGAAGGATGGCGATGGAGTGGAGTATAGTAACCATGGCATCAAATCTGTTATTAGTATCTCAGCAGGCACACGTCTTTGATCCCACACAAACAACCGGCACACTTTTTATGAAATACCGGCTATGAACTGAAAAGCTCCATAATAGGGCCAACATGGAGAATCGGGTCAGTGGAGTGGGTCTGGGGTAATGTCACATAGCCTATAGTTCATGTTCTGTGTTCAGCTTGCTGCTGTTCTATTTACAGAGAAAACATTAATAATTTCTGCATCTCTCTCTGCATACATCAATGTACTGTACTGTACATGTTCCTTCTGTAGTTAGATGGCATGCAGTCGGCACAGGCTGAACCCATTAGTGGAATTAACTCACATCAATGTTTCATTAGGGAGTCATCTCTTATCACGCAGAAAACCAGTGGCCTCACTTTACACGCTCCGGTTTCCATTATGTTCAGGAGATGATCCATGTTTAAACTACAAGCCACAGGGCCCCTGCTTGTTTGAGCCCGGCTGCAGGTGGAGCCCTTCAGCAGGATGGAAGTGGTAATATAACAATAAAAATCGAATTATGTAGCGCTTTTCAAGAAGGGGTCACAAAATAAAGCAAACGCCGAATGGGGAAAGCACATAAAGGCCAATACTCTAGAAAGTGTTTTGGAAAGAAAAAACGGTTAAAGGAAATTACTCAAGAAACCTTGGGAAAGGATTTCCATTTAAAGCACATTTCAAGTCACTGACTCAGCTGACCTGATTTACTCAGGCAGCTCATTCCTGAGCCTCCAGGCCCCTTTAGAGTTCGCAGCAAGACACAAAAGACCTCTGCTCTTAAGGTACGCACTGCTGCATGTGATACTAAAAGGTTAGGTAAGGCCATGAAGGGCATAATCCTTAAGAGTAATCCATAAAATCAGCTGTTATCTCAGTTGTGTATGAAATATAGCAGGGTCATGCCTCAGGTTTTCATATTCATCTGATGGAGGTTTAAATTCTCAATATGCACATAAATTGTTCAACTTTGCAATTAAATTAACCTCAGTGATATAAAGAAATTTTCCTATTATTAAATAATTTTGCTGTTTAAATAAAACACATATAAAATTATAATACTGTGTTATAAGTCTAAAAACCAGCAACGGTTTTATTCTGCTTAAATGTCCTCAAAAATTCCTGAGAAAAATCAGAAGAGAGCTTGCCTAAGAGTCATTCCAAATATTGACTTTCAAGCTCTTTAGAATTGCACAATTGTAGAACTGAATCTCTGTTTTTGCCATTATTACCTTGCATGTTTGCACAATTTTCAGTAAATCTCTGTACCTGTTTCCAATTTTCCAAGCAAAATGAGGGGTGGCTCATGACCTTTGCACAGTACTCTGTATTTCATCATATTGAGCATTTATTCTAAGTAACCATTATTATAGTTAGGTCCATAATTAACTTACAGAGCTTTTTTTGTAGTTTTGCCTCTGTACACCACCACAGCTGATTTTAAATCAATATGTGATCAAAGTGCAGACTTTCAGGTATAGGAATTATAGCGATTTTTATACATAGTGTCACATTTTCAGAGACTTAAGTAATTTGACAAGTGATAATCAAACACATTTCTGTACCAGCTGAAGCAGATATAAAATCATGAGTCCATTCCAAGTGTTGAGCTTATATTTGGTAACCCTTTCACTGGATGCTGGAACTCTCAATATAAGATTCAAAAACACTGAGGACGCAAGCAGACCATCATTAGGCTGAAAACCCAAAATAAATGGTAAATGGCCTGCATTTGTATAGCGCTTTTCTAGTCCATAGGACCCCAAAGCGCTTTACACTACATTCAGTCATCCACCCATTCACACACTGGCGATAGCAAGCTACATTGTAGCCACAGCTGCCCTGGGGCGCACTGACAGAGGCGAGGCTGCCGGACACAGGCGCCACCGGGCCCTCTGACCACCACCAGTAGGCAAACACGGGGTTAGTATCTTGCCCAAGGATATTTGGTATGCAGCCAGGAGGCAGCCTGGGATCGAACCACCGACCTTCTGATTAGTGGCTGACATGCTCTGCCACCTGAGCTACAGCCACCCCTAACTATCCAGCTCAGCAACATCAAAAGGCCTGAGGGACCGCAGAAGACAACTAAAGTGCACAATGACCGAATTATTTCCACAGTTAAGAAAAACAGCTTCATGACATTTAGCTGCGAAGACTCTCGAGGAGGCAGGCGCATCACTGTCAAAGTCTACAACTAGGAGACATCTACATGAATGTAGATACAGAGAAAAGAGGGCAGATTAGAATTAGCCAGAAAACATTTAAAAAATGTTATGGCACCGCATGCATGCTGTCAGTGGAACTGGGTCACCAATGCTTATTGATGATGTGACTGGTGATAGAAGCACATGGATGGACTGTGAAGCACACAGGGCTATACTCTCTGCTCAGACTCAGCCAAATGCTGCTGAACTGATAGATGGTGCTTCACCGTGCAGATGGATAACGGATAATGACCCAAAACATACTTCCTTAAGAGCTTCTTACAGTAAAAAGATGGGATAATCCTCAATGGCCAATTCAGTTACATGAGCAGCAGCCCAACAGAGCAGCTTTTCAGTTATTAGACACACAGCCACATGCAAAAAGATCCAAAGGCACAAAGATAAGTAGCAACTGAAGCCGTCTGTTGTAAAGGGAGGAAAAACAGCATTTGGTGATGTTCATGGTTTTATCCAAGTGCTAAAAACAATCCTTATTTTTACGTCACTTTTTCCAGTTAATTTTGAGCTTCTGGGGGACATTTCTAAAAATTGCTTCATGGATTAAAAAAGAAAGCCTGCCCTTCAGTCACATCTTGCTTTAAAATCCACTGCGGCGGTGTATTGTCTGAAAACGTCTGGGCCTAACTGTATAAAATGTTGTTAAAAAATCCCAACAGACTAAGTAAAAGTGGAGTTTTCTGTTTTTGCACAAAACAGATTTGTGACCAAGTTTTCCCTCGCAGACACATCACTTTGTACGCAGCAAAGATCAAACCTTTTCATTTAAACAAATGTTATAACAGCTGTTGTAGGGTCAACCACCGCCAGCAGAAGTGGTGGGCTGGGGTGTTCCCAGAAGAAGGGTGGGGGTCCAGCGACTACATTGTTTGGTGTTCTTCTTGGCAGTAAATCACACACTGAGGAGAACGTTTCATAACTGAATCATCGAGCAAACAATGACGTTTGCATGCACCGCACATGACCGAACCCTGACAGCACCCTTCAGTTCTTTATTGAAGCTTCACTTTGTTGTTTACAGAGACAGACCAGACCAGAAAATACACAGAAAAAATGAACTTTTAATTATTAATCTGTGAAGCTGAGGGAAAGCAGAAATCTCTGGACGCTGTTTCAATCTTCCCTCTGTGTTCTCAAACAAAGAATCAGTATTTGTATTCCCCCCCTTTTTTTAGCTCTGCATTTTCTAGCAGGATAACATTGATGGCTTCAGTCAGGCCTTCTTGCCACGCAATTAACAGGTTTTACAAATATCCACCTCCCCATGTGCTCTATAATTGTTTCAGATTTCTTGTTAAAATTCTGGTGAACACAAGAGATAAGAGTGCAGAACTGCAAAATCTCTCTCTTTGT